AGGAGGCAGCCAATCGATGTGTCTCTCTCACATCCGTGTTTTGTTTGTTTGTTTCTCTCTCTCCCTCCCCTCCCTTCCACTCTCTCTAAAAATCGATGGAAAAAAATATCCTCAGGTGAGGGTTAACAAAAAAATAATAAATAAAAAGTAAAGACCCCAGCAGCTGGGGAAGAGCCGTTTACTGCAAAGATCCCACCGTGGGTCATATAAAACCTCCAGAAATAAACCTGGTGGACCCGCTGCTCCCTGCCACCCACAGAGCTGGACGCCAGTCGAGGGCACACAGGGTAGACCCCGAGTCGGCACGAGCCCAGGGCAGCGGCTCCCCGTGCTCTGTCTCAGCCTCCTTCGCTCGGCCCTCTTGGTGGGAATGGAGACCAGATGAGGAAACTTGCCCACCGGAGGCTCCATCCCTGCCCGGAGGGGCCTCAGGGCTTGGCTGCCTGGGCTCCCGGGCCTGTGGCTCTGGCCTCGGCCACTCCACCCCTCTGCCTGGAGCTTGGACCTTCGCTCCCTCCTTCCTGCTGCACCCAGCAGCCTCTTCCCACCAGCGGGGGGCTCAGGGTCGGGTGCCACCCGCAGAACAGAGGCCCCACACCCTCTCCCTTCTCCTCCCGCCCTCGTGCGCCCCCTCCAGGCAGGGCCGTGATTTCTTCCCTCCGCGAGAGTCAGCATAGTAAGGAGCCAGGAAAATCCCTTGGCAAGTAGGTTAGGGAAACTGAGATAATTAAGGCCAAACAATTTGACCAATTTACAGCCAGCCAGCTAGTGAATCCTGGGGCCTTATCTTTCCTGACCAAGGACACTCGGGAGCAAATGGTTTATACCTCTCCTCCCTGACCAGAGAATAAAGAGCCTTAAATCTCCCCGGTCAGGGAGACAGAAGACAGAGACCCAATTAGAGCCATCTGTGCCAGCCAAGCCCAAGGACGGACAAAGTCAGGGGAACACATAACAAAAACCTGATGAGAGCCAGAGGGACCCAAGATGAAACTGAAGCAGCGAAACTGACCAGAGAGCAATCCCAGGCTCCCTCATACGCTCATTTTGATGAATCAACGTATTGCAGGACACACCTGAAAAGCTAATGAATATTTCTTTATTCTGTTACACCCTCCCCTGGGACCTCCCCTAGGATTCCCGCCCACAGAAGAGAGAGAAAACCCTCAAGACAAAGGATACCTGTGCGGCTCGCGCCCAGGCCTTTTCAGTGTGGGCACCTGCTCACCTGAGGGCACACGGGCTCCGGTCTGGCACCTGGCACACTTCCATGGGAAACCACGTCTCTGACTGTCTCTTCCCTCTTTGTGGGCGCGTGCAGGGTGGGCACCCGGAGACCCAGTGTGAGTCCCAGCTCTGCCGTCAGATCCCATAGGACTCCAGACAAACCCCTCTCCTGGCTGGGCCTCAGTTTCCCTCTGTGTAAAGTGCAGGTGGTAATTCCGACCTCGGGTGCGGCAATGGGGGTCAGCTCAGGACGCTCTGTGGGCCATCAAGTTCAGCCCCTGTCCCCAGAATCGTCATCCTTAGGGCACAAGGCAGGTCCCCACGCACCGCCTCTGGTCACACATAGGTCCACATGGAAGAGGTGTGACGTCAGTGCCCCCAGGTGGCACAGTGAGGCAGAGACGGTGCCCCTGCCTGTCACCTCGAGTGCAAGTCCTGCCTGCTCTCCACCCTGACTCTAATCCCACAACAGCACCCGAAGCCTGTGCCATTCGCCTCTTGTACAGATGGAGAAACTGAATCTCCCGGAGGCCCCGCGCTTGCGGGCGCACCTGCCGCGGAGGTGGGCGCCGCTCTTCACACCCGCGTGCTTCTCCAGGGTGGGTGTGGGGGAGACCGGCTCAGCCGCCCCGGGAAGAGGGGCCGGAGCTGAACACACGCCAGCCAATGAAATAATTAAGGAGCGGGAAAATGGCTTAATTAGCTCATTTTAAAAAAAGTAAGTGTGTACAAACACTCAGCAATTAAGCAGCCTCTCTTCAGAGAGCAGTTTTCCAGCGGCACTCGCCTTCCTTGCTTCGGTGTGTCTGCCTTTAGAGTGCGGTTTTCCTGTTCTTAATCTGAGTAAATGGAGGTTGGAAGTTGCCGGAGGCAGTGAGAACTTGGAGATGGTGTGGATGTTGAGTGCTCGGGAAGGGGAGGCACCGCAGAGGCCTGGGTGACCACTGTTTCCCTCCCTCTGTCCCTCCCTCCCTCCTTTCCGGACACCTGAGGAATTTTGACACTGTCCCCAGAGGAGGGGGAGTCTCTCCCCAGCAGGCAGGTGCAGGGGTGACTTGTTAGTACTGGTCCTTGGACATAATCCAGCCCGATCCCCACATTGTCAGTGTGGGCACCTGCTCACCTGAGGGCACGCAGGCTCGGGCCTGGCACCTGGCACACCTCCACGGGGACTCAGCGAGCCTCTGTTGAGTGTAGCTGTGGGTTCTCAGATGGTTGTGGTGACCGCAGTCCTCGCTCAGACCTGGTGATCTGTATGAACTCGAGGAGGTGGCATTCGATTCAGGGTTGGTGCCCTGGGCTGTGGGGAGATTTAAACCAGAATCGGGAATGTAAGCTGTCTAATTCAGAGCCGTCCTGGTATAGGACGGGCGCTCAGTAAATGTGGCGACCTGTCGTGGGTAGGACAGTGTCCCCTCCAAATCCGTGTCCACCTGGAGCCTTTTTGGATAGAGGCTCTTTGCAGGTGTAATCAGGGAAGGATGGAGATGAAGTTGTCCTGGATTTGGGATGGGCTAATCCAGGGGGTGGTTGGGACACAGACCACAGGGAGGAGCCACGTGAGGACGGAGGCAGAGACTGGCGTGGTCACAGCCCAGGATTGCCGGCAGCAGCCAGGAGCTGGGAGAAGCAGCAAGGTCCTCCCCCAGAGCCCCCAGAGGGAGCGTGGCCCTGCCAGCACCTTGATGTGAGACTGTGGCCTCCAGGAGTCTGAGAGAACAGGTTCCTGCTGCTTGAAGCCCCTGTTGGCAGGATGCGCTCCTGGGAACCCGACTTAAGCCCCTCCTTCCTCCAGCCCTGATGTCTCCCCCTTGTCGCACCTCATGGTCAGCGCTGTCTTCTCTGGCCGAGGCCTGTTGCCTGCGTAGCGTTGAAAATGCACAGGAAATAGCAGGGTTGTTTCCCATGTTCTGTAGAGGGGGGCTCTGGAGCTGGCCGAGATGGTGATGGTCTGCTGAGAAACAAGCTGCCACTGTCGTTTCTGCGGGAAATGTGACGCTGTGCCCCGCCCTGACCCCATTCTCTCCCCTCGCGGGTGGTTTTCCAGGCCCCCTCCCCGCCCTCCTCTCTCCCTTGGTCCCCGCGCCCACAGATGCAGGCTGGAGCTGCCTGCTGGGACGGGTTCGGTTCCTCCGACCACGCTCCCTGGGAGAGACGAGATAATCCATCGCCGGGCGTCCGGCACGTCCCCTGGTCACCCTGGGTTTCGCAGCAGAAGCATCGCAGTCAGTTGTTTCTCCTAGGCACCCCAGGGAGGGGCTGGACCTTGGGGGACCCCTTTGGGCATCAGGGGTGGGAAGGGGTGGGGGGCTGATCTCTGTCCAGACTTGGGAGGGACCTGACCTCTGGGGTCAGAACGGGGCCATGGGGCCACTAAGCCATTCTTCCTGGGGTCTCGGTTTCACTTGAAGATTTAGGGAGGAAATGTATCCCTGCAGAAACCACTGAGGGCGTATTGTGGGATGGAATTACACGTTCCTAGGGGTGGGGTGTTTACCTTAAAACGGCTCCAGGCCTGTCCCAAGGGCCCCAGCGTCACTGGGCAAGTCGAAGAAACACGAGCCTCCCAGCCCCTCCTGGGCTCAGACAGGGGAAGGGGCTGCTCAGGCCACAGGACAGCTGCCGGGCCACAGGGTGCTGGGGTCTGAGGACAGGGCCACCGCCTTCCCCGGATTCCAGCCGACTGCCCTCGCACAAGCCGGGGATTCAGCCTGCGGCCTGGTGCTCAGCTCCCTGCAGGCCGGTCTCAGGGCTTAGACAGGAGTGATTAGGTGATGGCCAGGCTGGGGGCGGGGGCGGGTCCCTGTCCTCACCTGTCCCCACCTTGGGTTTGGTTCCTCACTCATCCTGCCCTGGAACCTGCGCTCCCGCATCAGGGTGTCCCTCCAGCTCCGGGTGTGCTCCTGGGTCACAGTGCATTTTTGCGGGGTGGTGCTTAGCACCATTGGTTTCGGGGTCACCAGCACGTAGATCTTCAGTGCGGAGTCAATTCCACGTCGCTTCCAAACACAGATGTGAAGTCGCCTTTGGTGACTCCTCTCCCCCTGGGCTGTGGGCTGGTGGTCAGGGTGCTCGAGATCCCTGCTGGCCCCTCAGGGTGCAGACGGGAACGTGGCCCACCGAGCGGAGGGGCTGGTGCGCTGGGAGCCAGCTGGCCTGGCTGTGCTGGGGCCTCGTCGCCAGCGGCCTCGGGGCTCTGGTGCCTCTGCACCCTGTGGGTTTGCGGTCAGGGTGGCGGGTGCGGGTCCCGGAGGAGCTCGGGGTCCAGCGAGGGCAGCGGGTAGGCAGGCGGGCCGCTGCGAGGCCCCAGCGTGGTGGAGCGAACAGGGCGCCAGCTCCAGCTGGCCACCCCTTCGCCCAGTGGTTTTGGGCAGGAGCCTCTCCCCTCTGAGCCTCCTCCGGTCATCTGAGCAATGGCCACAGTGACAGTCTTCCAGGGTTTCTTGAGGAATCAGAGACAGAAGCACCTAGAAGTGTCCGGCACACCTGAGGCTGTGGGTGTGGTAGAGGGTGAAAATTCGCAAACTCTGCCCAAACCGTGGACCGCCCGGGAGAGGGGACCCGACAGGGACGCTGGCTGGCGTTCGCTGACTCCAGGCCCCGGCTCCAGGCCCGAGGGACTGCTCGGTGTCCCGAGGGCGCCCAGTCTCCTGCTGCCCCGGGACGAGGGGGGACGTTAGGGAGGGTGTGTGGCCTGTCCTGTGTGCCCCGTAGACTCAGTACATCTGCCCCTGGGGGGGCGGGTCGCTGACCGCTGTGTCCTGTTCCCCCAGGTCGGCGGACTTCGGGACGACCTACACCAAGCTCATCCTCCAGCCCGGCTTCACCACCATCATCAACAACTTCTACGTGACCCCAGCCAACAAGAAGAAGGTAGGTGCTTTGCCCGGGTGCCACCGCTCGCGGCTGGTCCTGCTGGGGCACCCCGGCCACCGGCTGGGCTGTCACCTCTCTCAAGCGCTCCCCACCCAGTTCCGCCTTCCTCCATTTCACTGAGTGAGTATTGAGTGACCGGCGAGCGGGGTCTTTGGGAAAAGGCTCTGTGTGACCATCGGTGCCTCGGTCTCCTCGGCCCGGGGGCAGCACCGGGCGCAAAGCGAGGAGGAGCTCGGGCGGCGAGGGCAGGAGCCCTCGGCCTGGCTGGAGTCCTCGTGGGCACGGGTGAGCCGCCCTGCTCTGCGGCAGTAAAACCTCGGTGTAACGGAGTAATTCGGGCGAGGGGGTGTCCGTTAAAGCCGCAAGTCCATTATATAATAAAGTAGGTTTTCCAGATGTGTATGTTAAAAAATGGACAGGTTAGTTTACCTGTTTTTACTTTTGTAGACCCATTTGTGTAATTAAAATTATATATGAAAAGTTTAATTTCACAGACAAGTTTTCTATATGTATGATTAATTTTAAATGTATGCTGAGTAGGTCTAGTAAGTGGGTGCGTTCACCAGTCACCGTGAGTAAACAAATGCACGTGGCCGTGGCGTGGCTTCGCTCACGTGGGAGCATCTGCTGGCGGGCGTGAAAACTGCTGCAGAAACTCGCACCACGGGAGAACAGAACAGTTACTGCTTGAGATGTGGTGTGATCACGTGCTGATCATTCGCAGAACGGTTTACGAGCGGTGACTCTTGGATTTAAATATGTAGACTGTAGCTGTAGGTATGTAATGTTTATTTAGGTTGGCAAAATTACTATAGTGTTTTTTTCCAACATATGGCCTGTTCGCTAAAATTTGTTAAAAATAACAGTGAATTAATAACAAAAACGAACCTGTTAATTTAATTATAAGCAAATCTTGGTTAAAAGCATTTTAAAATGAACAGGCTGGTGATTTTCACGGGGGACATACAGACCGGAAACTTTGTCCATTAAATCTGAAGTCTGTTAAATCGAGGTCCGCAGAATCGAGGGTTTACTGCACTGGGTTTCCATTTGTGATTTTTTTCAGCCGAGCTTTGTGTTCTCCCGCACAAGTAGTTTTAACCTTCTGGAACCTCGGAGGGTCTGGAGGAGCCCTGAAACTGAGCCTCTCCGGCTGCGTTTCTGTGGGAGGAATAAGAAATGGGGCCCAGCCCAGCCGGTGTGGCTCAGTGGTTGAGCGTTGACCTATGAACCAGGAGGTCACTGTTGGATCCCCGGTCAGGGCACATGCCTGGGCTTGATCCCCAGCAGGGGCCGTGCGGCAGACGGCCGATCGATGACCCTCATCACTGATGTTTCCATCTCTCTCTGAAGTCAATAAAAGCGTGCTAAAAAGAAGAACAGAAAAGGGGCCCAAGTCGGCCCTGCAGAGGGGCTTCATCCCGGGCGAGCCCGACCTGGGAGAGGCTCGGCCCTTGCCGGAGGGGCGCCCGCTGGAGCTGCCGTGGCCGCCTTCCCTACCACCGGGTAATGGATAGGTTTTGCGGGAAGATGCAAATACTATTAGGATTCCATTTAAGCAACAATTACAGGCCAGGCAGCGCTTTATAGCTCCTTCGGAGACTACTTTGCAAGCTGTCTTACAAAATGAATTCCCTTTTATTTTTGCCTTGCCGGCGGTACAGCCGGAGCTCCCGGTCCTGGTGCCCATGGGCACAGTGTCCTCCTGTTGCCAGGGCACAACTCGAGACCCGGTCCCGACAGCCGCTGGGCGTTCCCCGAGGCCTCCCGCGCCGCTCGCAGGTCCCCCGTGGGCTCTGGATGAGAGCAGCGTCTGACGTGGCTGCGGGAACGCCACGCGTGGGGAGACGCTGTGCAGGTGCGGCCTTGGGGAGCCGGCCCAGGCACGCGATTGCTTTCAAGTGTCGTGGTTTATGTTAAAAATTCGTGTGAACGCCCGCCAGGACGGTGGGTGGGTTCAGGAGAGGGGGGTGGGCTCTGGTGTTTGTTTCCCGGGGCTGGAGTGAACTCGAGGTGGCTCGGACAGGACTCGGCTTGTGGCGGGTTGGAGCAGGGCAGGGCGACAGCCGCAGGGCTCCGGGAAATCGCGAGGACTCCTTACACCCCCGGGGCGTGGGGGGGGGCAGTGTATGTTTGCGCCTTGCGTGTTTATGTTTCCAGCAGCTGAGGCTGAACGAGTTGGATCCCCCACCTCGGTGCCTCCCCGGCTGCGCTGTGGCCTCAGCTTTGCTCTCACGCTGTCTCGTCTTTTAGAGCCTCCGATTCAAGGTCACGCTTTCCGATTGCACTAAGGGGGGTAGCGAACACCAGTGGCCGGGCCCCTCTTTTTTGGCTGCTTTGTTCCTGGACATTCTGGTCACCTCGCCGATTGCTTTTAGCTTGCCACGCAGGCCATGCCAGGTGGAGCTATGAAAAATGTGATTGAACTTCTTTAGGGAAGAGGAGTCTGGTGTCACTTGTCTGCCTCTCTGGGCACATGCACCCGCTCCCCACCCCAGCGAGGAGGGTTGCTTTCATAGATGGGGCTCTCGGGCCGGAGCTCTGGGCCCCGTGCTCCCGGCCTGCTCCGCCGGGGACTCACCCCTCCTCACTACCCATAAAAATAAGGCCCCTCCGAGCGTCCTGAGTCTCACCGTGCCGGACAGAGGACAGACAGGATAGCAGGTGGTCCTCATGCAGGAGGTGGCCGCCACAAACTTGGTGGCAGGTGTGCGTTCCCGGTTCCCTCACCTGAGACCTCGGCCGTCTCTCCGTGGTGGCGGGTGACCTCCAGGTGGCCCGGAAACTGAACGAGTTTTTCATCAGCTGACTTTGATGTTATTGAAAAGAAATGATTGGTGCCCCCCGGGCTGGGTCACGGTTTGTGAAAGGACACTGTGATTAGGACTGTGAATAAGCTGTAATACACAAATAATACCCCGTGTAATTAGGCGGGCGTAGGAGATAATTACATGGGTGATTATGCGCCAACCGGCGGGGCCCCCGCGCTGCAGACGGTGGCGTCAGAGCGGCTGCGGGGGGTGAGCGAGCTCCGCGCGGCCCATAAATACCCACCGAAGGACACCACACCTACGGACGGGGCCGGATGGGAACCCTGAGCGTCATGTGACGCGGGGGCAATTTAGTAGTTATTTGTCTCGTATGAATGAGCCGTTCCGGGTCCTCCAAGGTCCTGCCGTGGTAACAAAGTGGGAAACTGCAGGGAAGTAAATACCTTTCTCCGGAGAACGAGGGCCCACGTGAGCCGGGACAGGGGCGTCCCCACGGGCCCTCAGCCACGCCTGGGATGTCACTGGGGTTTCTGACCCCGAGCTGACCGGGTGTTTTCCTGACTGTCCCCTGGAAGGTCAAGATTCCCGGGAAGGCATCTTTGCCTCCTGGTCCCCTGCACCTTCACCAGGCAACGAGGGTGAGCTCACACTGACACCCAGACTAGAACAGGAAGGCTCCTGGGACGAGGGCATCTCCGTGAGACCACCCTGATCGCTCGGGCAAGGCAGTGTCGGCCCTGCCCCAAGGTCCTCAGGTTCCCTAAACTGACGGTGAAGACCGTGCGCAGAGTAGGAAGCTCAGGGATGGAGCAGAGAGGCCCACCTGCAGGAA